TTTTACACACTCTTGTATGCTATATGTTCACTGTATGTTCCTGGAGGCTGCACTACATAAAATATCCTCACACTCTCACAGACAAACCTGGAAAGAAATCACCAGCATTAAAACTAGCAAAAGCAAGGAGACATTCATTTACTATGAAACTGAGCATTAATTCCAATATTCCCTAGTGTGGTAAATAATCTGGATTTCAATGTATTTCCTCCCAATCGGTTTCAACTTAGGAACTTCGGTTGTTATCACCGTATAAACCACAGAATCTGGATGTCTCAGCATTGAAGACCCAAGATCCTCAGTTCTCAAACACTGCAGAAGCCAGTGAGCACAAAAGAGTAACAAGTCCATAAAACTCAAAAAATAAAGTTCTATTTCCAGTTTCCAAAGATTTAATATGAACAGCTGCAGCCAACATATTTAAACTCCTGGATCACTGAAGTTAGACAGTGAGAACTAAACAGTGCCACATTCTGCAGTTACTGTGAAGGAAAGTGCAGAAGGTCCAAGCCTGAAGTTGAGGTGTTCAGAGCATGTGCAGGAGAGAGGTCAGGGAATCAATGCTCATGTACAGAGCAGTTCCTCAGAAAACGTGCACTGAGTGAGGGAAGTGCTGGGGGCAATCATGAACATTTAGTCTTTTGTGTTCAGCAGCTTCAGATGTAAAATGAACTATTTTCCTACAATGCAAAAGAACTTCAAGCACAAAGACAAGCTGTTCCAAAACTGAATCCTTCTTGGCTTTTACTAGAACCAAAAAAGCAGACCAGACACAACGGATAGTACAAGAAATGCAAACAAAGACCATCAGCAGAGATAGGCTCACGGAAGGCTGAAGGCCTAATTGAGCCTAAACCAGAGAAAAAACCATCTACATCAAAGTTCTGGGATATCACATATGCTTTACTTCCCTGGAAAAAAAGAAAGTCCTCTGGTTTAACATGACCTCTGCTACCTAACAGTACTAACATCTGCTCTCCAGAGGAAACAATTCTTGCCAGAAAGCCATCCTGCCACAACCCACCTTCCCCCAAAGCACAAACCAGACATTTATGAGCAATTTTTCTCAGTCATGTGACATTCTGAGCATGAACAGCTGCTATATGCCCACTTGTCCCACTGCCCTCCAAGTTCACGTTGGAGAAGACGAGTTAGACCTAGCTGAGACTAACTGCACCTCTGGTATTAAGCCTACCAGGCCTGAGGAAGCACAGCCCTCCTTGTAGCTCACCTCTGGAGCCACCTAACAGGTTAGCTCTGCCTAAGGCATGCACTGTGTGTAAAGGACAACAGCCAAAGCACAGAGCAGGCAAAAAATAAAAATGATAGAAGACTGAGAGAAAGACCAGCAGAAAGTTGCCACTTTAAGTATTCTGTTAAGGAATTAAAAATATATACTTGTCAGGGTTACTATTAATTGTTTTTAAAGTCTATATTCAAAGCAAGAAGAGAAGAGGCAAACAAAAAAACAAACTCCTGTCATCCTTTCCCAAGCCATTCAGCTACAGCACTACCAAGGGTCAGAGAAGAGAATCACAGCTACCCTTGCCCTGAGAAGACAAATTTGTCAGATTTTATTGCATTACTACAGCAGAATTTAATACATGAATGCGCCACAGGGAAGGCTGGGTCTCAAACATAAAGTGCCATTTAGGCCACAGGATTTCGGTCTCACTATCTCCAGCACTCCCAGTTCATGGACCTCATCGCTTCTAGCTCCTGGGAGCACTGCTGCACACAGCCTGGCCAAAGAAGGAGGCAGGGCACTTGCTCTAGAGAAGGTCACTGCCTACAGGTTGCATACTGTTGCATGTGAAGATGAGCAGAGCCATAGGAAAGCAAAAACATTTTGTATGTTTTGCTTATTATTCTGCTTTCAAGCATCATTACTCAGACATCAGTACTACTCTGCTTCTCACTGTCACTCTCATTTTTAACAGTAGGTTTGAGAAAATTAACTTCCAGGCGAGTCACCTAAGAATTTAGTAAGTTTTCAAACCCCTCATTTGTGCGAAAAACTATTTAATGAACTTGACCACAAAAGAGTGCAGTCGACTGAGAAAAATTTTTACTCAACAGTTTCTTTTACATTGGCACTTATTCAGTCCAGTTTCTCGTGAAGTCCCCAAACTGCTCAAGCAGGAAGGACTCTCTGCAGGCACAGCCCTCTTACTCCGGGGAAAAGCCTCGCTACTGAGCCTGTTTGTCAAACAAAAAGGATCTCCTATCCACTGGGCCCAGAAACCAAATGAGCCAGGGAAAGCAGAATCCCTGCAGACCCCGGGAGGCCTGAGCCAGGCACGCTCGGACCAGCGGGCTGTTGGTCGGACTCTGCGGGGAAACAGCGACACAAACTTTTTCTTCCCTCAGGTCCAGTTCCCGCTCGCAGGTTCCACACGGGAGGAAGGACGCGGGTACCACCTCACGCTCCTCCCGAAACGCCGCTCGACGCCCGGGCCGGAGCAGGGGCCGAGAGGGGCCCTGGGCCGTGGGGGTCATCGAGAGTCGCTCCCGCCAGCCCTGCGGTGGCTCCGCGGCACCAACTAGGCGCGAGGCGCTGGGGGAGCCCCGGGGACAGGCTCGCCCATCGCCGCCCCGCTCGGGCCCCGCCGCGGCAGCGCAGAGGTCAGCGGGGTGGAGGCTCCGGGCGGCGCCCGCACCATAGGCCCCGCGGGCGGCGAAGCGGGCCGAGCCCGACGGCGTCGTGGCGGGAAGCCTGGCCGTCTTACCTGCGCCGAGAGCCCGGCAGACATGTCGGGGCGCGCCACTCCCTTAGGCCGCCGGCGCCACAGGGCCGCGGCCACACGGGACCGGGAGCGCCGCTCGCCGCCCTCGGCCCGCACCCGCTTCCGGCAGCGCCACAAAGCGCACAGCGGGGCTGTCCCCTGCGCATGCGCGAGCCCGCTATAGCGCGATTCCCCACCCCTGCACGCTACTCCTGTGCCGGCGGCACCGAATAAGTCGCAGGGACAGGCTGTGCGCACGCGTAGAGCGGCCGCCGCTGTGCCTGGCGCCGCCGCGGTGTTCTCGCTCTTAAAGGGGCCGCGCACGCCAGCCCCGCCCGTACCCCGCGCTCCCCGCGGATCCCGGAGGCTCCGCCATCTCGCCGTTCCCCGGGCGCTGCACCGGGCCCTGGGAAGGGCCTGTGCGGCGCACCGGGACTGACTGCCCCCGGGCCCTCGGGTGGAAGGAGCTGTTGGCGGGCCGCTCCAGCTCGAGCACCGTGGGCAGTGACCGGGAGCCGCCGGTGCCGTTCCGCTAGCCTGGCTCCGGTTCCTCTTCCACTGCCAGCGCGGGCTCTGCTGCTGTCCGGCCTGGCCTTGCCCTGCCCTCAAGCCCCGCTGCTGCTGCGCCTCGGCAGCCGCAGCTCAGCCTGGCTGTGGCTGGGAAGGGACAGTGACAGCACCAGCTCCGTTTCCCCAGGCCGTGTCTCCCTCTTCCCGCGATCTTTATTCCCATCCCGCGTTCATTTGCCGCTCCTCTGGCCCATAGTATTGACTAGTCTGCAGGTGCTGATGGTGCTTCGCTACAGCGACATGGGTTACCTGGGTTCAAACTCTGGGCAGAAGTGAGGGGGGATTCTGCCCCTCTGCCCACTCAGGTGAGACCCCACCTGCAGAGCTGCCTCCAGCCCTGGGGAGCCAACATCAGAAGGATGTGGAGCTGCTGGAGGGAGTCCAGAAGTCGCCATGGAGATGGTCCCAGAGCTGGAGCCCCTCTGCTCTGGAGCTGGGCTGGGAGAACTGGGGGTGTTCACCTGGAGGAGAGGAGGCTCCAGGGAGACCTTGAAGTCCCTTCCAGTGCCTAAAGGGACTGCAGGAAAGCTGAAGAGGGACTTTGGGACAAGGGATGGAATGAGGGACAGGACAAGGTGGAATGGCTTCCTGCCAAAGAGCAGGGTTAGAATAGATTTCTTAAGTATTTTTTTAGTATTTCTTTACTATGAGGGTAGTAAAACAATTTTCCCAGAGAAGCTGTGGCAGCCCACCTGTGGAAATGTTCAAGACCAAATTGGATAGGGCTTGGAGTAATCTTGTCTAGTGGAAAGTGTCCCTGTTTATTGCAGGGGGCTTGGAATAAAAGGCTTTAAAAAGTCCTTTCCGACTACTTTCTCATTCTGTGAAACACAGCCAGTGGAGAAGGCAGCACAGGGCACTCTGCAGGGAGCAATGCCTTGCTCGACAGCACTGTTTAGGGATGGTACAAGGGCCTGGTGTCCTGAGAGCCCCTGGCGATGGGCCCCTTTACCTCACCCGCTGCTGCAGCTGCGGAGCAGCACCATCTGCCTGCCTGTATCACCCTGGGGGCACGATGTGTTCACCTCTCTGCAGTGTTCTCTGCTTTCTGCAAGCAGTGCAGCAGGTGCACTGCTGCTAAAGTCAGCCCGGTCTCACAGATTCCTTATGGGCTGTTCCACAGGGGCCAGGTTTCCAGGTAATTTCTTCAGCATTTGCCTGCACTGTTTCTTGTTCAGTGCAGCACTAAGATGCCAACCTAAACAAACAGGAGCCTGCAAAGTAATTTTTAACCTCTTATATTGCCATCCATTGATGGAACACCATATATCACAGTGCAAACTGTATTCCTGTTCCCCTTCCTGGCAGGAAGACTTCTAGTCTGCACATTCTCTGCATGGAGACTGCTGACAGCAAGTGATGTGAGTTTCATAATAAAGATTTGCTCAGTGCTTTTAATGTAAATCTTTTCCTCCTGTTTGTTCTGCCCCCAAGGGGAGAAGAAGGCCCTTGCAGGACATATCCCTTCACAATACCATGAATCTTTGGTCCCTAATTAAAAAAAAAAAAAAAAAAAAAAAAAAAAAAAAAAAAAAAAAAAAAAGAGAGAGAGAGAGATCTGAGTTAGTCAGGCTTCTGGTAGTGATAGAATGCAGCACAGATGGAGAGGACTGAGTGGAAAGTGCATTTTTGTCTTGGTCCAAAAGACAGGTGTCTGCCAAGGAAGGGGGGAACCTCCCTTGAAATGGCAAATATGACCCCCTTCCCTCTGAATTATTACAACTTTGAAATTCCAGGGCTTTCAGACAAAGGTATGAGAGGAGGAATAGCGGTTCCTCAGCAGCGTGTGTGTGTATAACACGGCAAACAAACGGCAGCCCCGGCACAGCGAGGAGCAGCCGCAGAGCCCCAGGGCCGCCTTGTCCCGCTGCAGGCGCCTTCCCCTGCCGTGCAGTTCCGGGCGCAGCCAGCAGGGGCGCTGCTGGCTCCCGCCGGGCGGGGCGGGCGATGATTCCCCCGCGGCTGCAGGGGGCGCTGTGGCGCGAGCTCGGCCCCCTCTGCACACGGCACTGGCGGGCGGCCGGCGGGAGGGATGGAGAAGGGGCTTCCTTTGGAGCCCTCAGGGACAGCCGGTCCCGCTGCGCCTCCGCACGGTGACATGGACTGCAGCAGCAACCTTGGAAGCAGCTGGAACGGCAGAGGCGGGCGCACCCAGGGTGACAAATGAAATGTAAGAGAAAATTCCGCAGCCGTAGCAGGGGCCACAGGGCATCACGGCAGGCAGGGATGGGGGCTACAGTGCAGCAAAAACTCGGAGCAGTGGCAGAAAGCAGCCTGGTTCCTGAACATGGCTGGGAGACCTTCCCTCGGACAGGGAAAGGGCTCGGGGTCCCAGGGCTTCCCCTGAGGCACTGGAGCAGATGGTGAAGGTTCTTTTTTAGTGAGTGTGAAAAACGCCAATCATTTGTTTTTAAAATTTTAAAAGTTTAGTGGTAATAAAATGGTTATAAAAATAGTAATATAATTAGAGTAATAAAAATTTGAACAATTGAGGTTAGGACAATATGAGACAATAAAAAACAAAGAGTTACGGACAGTCCGGGTACCTCTTTCTGGGCAAAATAAGCCCAAAAAGGGACACACATTAACAGAGGATTAACCCTTAAAAACAACAGCCTGTTGCATATTCATACACCTCATACGTGATGCATAAATTCCATTCAAACAAAGGATTTTGGCTGGTCAGTGTAATCTTCTTCTTAATCCTAATGGTGTCTTCAGGGCTGAGAGAGGCCGGAAGAAGTTAGTTTCTTCTGATAATGGGGCAAAAAACTCTCTTTCTCTGAAAGATTTAGGTGTCCTGTGGCTGCTATCTGGTGCAAGTATCTCATTCCGTTCTTTAAAAAAATATCCCACATACAAAATTTCTATTTTAACATTATGTTGTAACGTAAAACTGTATTTAACACACTACTTTAAAAAATTAATACAGCATAACTTTCTAACATAACACATATAAGATTCATTTTAGTATTTGCGAAAAGCCAATCATAAACCACACATTTTCACAGTGAGGTAGGGTGTTAACAAGGTCCCAGTGCAGCGGCCACTCCCACAAGCAGAGCTTCACTCACGGTAGGAGAAGACAGCAGGAAATGGAGCCTCACAGCGGTGGGGAATTCTCCCCACAGCAACCACAGCCTGTCTCCCCTCTGATGCTGAGAGAGCGAGAGAGAGTGCCCAGCCCCTTCCCCCTGCCCAAAGCTCCCGCTATCTCTGCCCACCCAAAAGAAACCCCTCCGTTCAGAGAGCAGCCAGACCCCTTTCCCCTGTGTTATGGATATGATGGTAATTCGTGCTGATAGAATATGGATATAAGAATAAAATAGAAATCTTTAAAATCACACCAGCGAGGGAAAAGGGGATTGCTTCACAGGATGGCGAAACCCAGCTGGCAGCTGAGCAGGAGGTGTGTCATTACCATAGGAAGTGGACCTAGCCCGCACAGGAGATGGGTGTTCTCACCGGTGTGAATGCCTGATGGCCCATGGAGATGTACTTCTCAGACAGACAGAACCTTCAAGGACATACATCTGAATGCGGGATTCCGGAACCCAGGAGCAGATACACATCAGTTCCTGGACAAGGCTTTGTCCAGAGCAGAACAGAGAATAGACACAGCGTGAATATGAAGAACTCCAAGAAAGGACAAAGGGACTCTGCCGCAGGCAAGAAAAAGAGTATAAAAACCAGACTCTGCCAAGTGGCATTTGTGATCACAGGGGATTCAGTGCAATAGGGGCAGGATCTGAGTTCACCCAGCTCTGATCCCAGGGTCGGTGCTGTCCTTGATTGTTGGCTGTTGGGACTGTATATCGGTTGCAAATAAATTTACTTTATTTTTATTTAAATTGGCTGGGTCAATTTTTACCTATGACACCCTGCATCATGGCAATTTCTTTTTCTCTCTTAAGTACCAGTCAGTTTTGTCTCCTAGCAACATATGGGAAAAAAATCCCTGAGAGAAAGAAAACAAAAGGAGCAATCCTAACCTCCAACAATTTGTTTCACAAGAGAGTCTCAGAGCCAACGGCCACATGTGCAGAGGTGAAACTGCAAAGCTGGCTCATGGACCCCCATTCCCCAAATCACACTCTACATCTTCCTCTTGGCCCCTTACCTGCTAGATCACAGCAGTAAAAACTCCTTCCAACCTCATACATTTTGCTTGACAGCACCAGAGCAAGGGAAGTTGAAGTTCACCTATAGCAGCCCATGGAGAGCCAGCTTTCCCTTTTTTGACTTCAAAACCACTGAGAGTGGCCTCAGGGCTGCCAGCTGCAGCTGTGCTGCCTCTCTGCAGTTCACCCTGTATGGATCCATGAAAGGAATGAGAAGGAGGTATTTTTACAAACAAACTGTGTGCCTGATGGTAGATAAGGCTAGATACAGAGAGGTGAAAGAAGCAAAGGGGAGAACCATAAATTCCACAGGAATTCCACTTATTGACACAGACTGTTACTCACCCAAGACTGTGCTACATCTCTGGATTTAGAGAGAAACAACAGAGAAACAAGGAAAAAGAAAAAGGGGGGGGGGGTTTCACCATGATATTTTTATGAAAAATCTTTTTGCTAGGATTTTCTCCTGAGAAGCCTCAGAAAAGAAATGTAAACAATCACCTATCTGATTGCTTTGGAATGTGGTCTGGAGATGGTTTACCGACAGATGTGTCTTTGATTGGTCTCATGTGAGTTGGTTTTACTTAATGACCAATCACAGCCAGCTGTGTCGGACTCTGAGTCTGTCACGAGTTTTTATTATTCATTCCTTTCCTAGCCTTCTAATGAAATCCTGTCTTCTATTCTTGTTAGTATAGCTTTACTATAGCATTTTTAATATAATACCATAATATAATACATCAGCCTTCTAAGAAATACGGAGTCAGATTCATCTCTTCCCTCATGCTGGGACCTGCGAACACATTGATGGGTGGGGGGGAGGGGGTGGTTTACATTAGAAGGGGGTATTAAGCATTTTGGGAAGTCTGTACCTCTCAAGTATCTCAGCCAATGGGGAAAGAGAGAGGGAAAATGTGGCCAGGAAATTAGGATAAAAAGAGGCTGCGTCCTCCAAAAATTTTGAGAGACCTCATGGGGAATGCCCCATGGCCTCTCCCTTTATTCAAATAAAGTAAAAGGACTCCTCTGTCTCCATTTTGGACATAAACCTCTGGTGTTTGTCGATTAATTTTTCTGGTATTCATGTATTATCACAAGGCTCACGAAGCTTACAATTGCCATGTAACCTTTATTTATGTATAAAAAAGCTAAGATTACTGTCTCTTTCTTCCCTGTCCACTCAGGGTTCTCTCTTCAAACCAAACTGCAGCAGGACTGCTCGTGGAATAAAATGGAAGATCCCCATTCACAGCAACCACATGGATCCTGATGTGAGAAACTCTGCTTACTTTTAAAATTACAAAGGTTTATTAAACCTTAACAAAAATACAGAAGACAGAATGTTATAAATGAATAATGTGATGGTTGGTTCTCACAATTAAGAGATGGATATTATGTGTATGTTAAGAAAAGTCTTGTAAATGTATAGTGAAATTACTGTAATATGTCCTCCCATAGTCTTCTTTTCTGTCCCCCTTGTAATAGCCTTGGTAGTGAGGGCATTTGGGAGCGCTGCCTTGTTACCAGGAGGCGCAACATGACAACATGACCTGGCCTCCAGTCAAGACGTAAGAAAGTAATCTCCATGAATTAATGGCAGAGAAAGAGTTGATTGACAAAATGTTGGGAAGTGCTAAGAGTATAAAAGGCAGAGCATCCATTTTGAAAACAAGCATGTGACTGCTAGTTACGGAGGCTCCCAGCACTGTAATTTTTCCTTATTCAGTCCTTTGTTGTATTTTTTGTTAAGGTTTAATAAACATTTGACATTTTAGAAGTGAGTGCCATTTCTCACATGAATAAGGAAAAATTACAGCGCTCGAAGCATGAAACTAAACTGCCATGTACTTGTCCTTATCTCTGGAGCTAGGGTCATAATTCCACTAGGCTAGTTTCTTTCTCAGTGGGCTATCTGTGGGTACATCTATTGATATCTCTTCCTTCTTCCTTCACCCATCGGGGATTCTCTACTGGCGCCCAATCCCATCCTGACAGTCAACTACAGGCCCTCTCAACAAGGCCCACCTTCCCGGAAGGAAGGAAGGAAGGAAGGAAGGAAGGAAGGAAGGAAGGAAGGACAAAGAAAGAAGAAGCTTTACCTTTTTGAAAAACAAAAGCAAATAAAAAACCCCCTTACGGTCCGGGGACCCCTGTGCCACTGGTCGGTTCTGCCGCTCCTCTCCCACCTTGGCTTGGCGCCCTGGCACCCATGGCACACCAGCGAAAGCAGCTGCTGAGCCACTCACGTGGTCCTCTGCTCGTGTGGCTTTATGCTAACAGGTTGTGGGGAAGCCTCTGCAGCTCAGTGCTCCGGCCCCCCATTCCCAGTGTTATGGGTAAAAATTGATCAAGCCAATTTAATAATCAAATAAAAAAATAGAATTTATTTCGTGACCGATATACAGTCTTGACAGCCACAATCAAAGGGACAGCATCGTCCCCAGGTTCAGCGCTGGGTGAACCCTGGTCCGATCTCTAGCGCATCGGACCCCCTCTGTTCGTGAAGGCTGTCCCTGTCCGGGTAGTTTTTATACAGTTTATTCTGCCTGAGGCAGAGTCTCTTTTCTTCTTTTCATGGCTTCACATATTCATGCAGTTTCTTTTCTCTGTGTTGAGCTGAACAAAATCGTGTCCAGGAAGCAATTGAGTAATTGAACTCAATCATTGAGTTACTGGAACCTGGCATTGAGATGTGTGCTCCTGACGGCTCTGGCTATCTGATCGGAGATTTTGGGGGGGCTCAAGAACACCTGGGGGTGCCAGGTTGAGTGTTATCAAATTTAGGGGATGTTTGACTGTGCTTGTGTGAGCGGCAGGGTCTCAGAAACTGCGTCGGGAGGCCATGTGGGTAGCAGCAAGCTGGGACCTGGCACAGCAACCCCCAACACTCCCGGGCCCAGAGGAAGCAGCGGTGGCGCTGCCGAAGGTCAGAGACAGGCTCGGTTGTGCAGGGTCTCGGAGGCCTTAGGCGGGAACCCGTGTGGGGACCTGGTAGAGCAGCTCTTGATGCCTACCAACTCACCGGGGACAGAGGCGATGGTGGCGCTGCTAGGCGTGGTTCGTACGTGGCGCCGCTGAAGATTGGGGGCTGACGCAGCGCAGAAAAGCCGTCGCTTGGAGGATCCTGCAGGGTTTCCCAAGCGGGCGCCACAGACCGGTGTTTCCCAAGTGGAAAAATGCCAGTGGGACCTGGTCCATTTGAGTGGCAGCCAGAGGGGACACAGCACAGTAACTTCCAGTTTTCGCTGACCCAGTCTAAGGGTTGGGCTGTCCGAGGGTCTTATAAACCACTTGGTTCGCTAGCTCAATGGTGGCGGCACGACCGCCGGAGGCGTCAGGAGCTAGCTGGGTTGTGCTGGGGTCTCAGACAGTGCAGGGCTCTGCCTTGGCGGCAGCAGTGCGGCCGCTGGGGTCAGGAGGTGGCTTGGTTGTACCAGAGTCTCAGAAACTGCGGAGGTCGCTGGTGCAGGGGCTTCTCAGCAACTCACCAGCATAAAGCCGAGCAGACGCAGGGAGGGCGTATTCGGCCGTACTGGCTTCCCTACGGCATCCAGCAGCATAAAGCCGTGGGACCAGGGCACTGAAGCCCAGCACTGTTGTCCCTGGCACTGCCACTTTGGTGGGGAAGGGGAGGTGGCATGGGGGTGCAGGGAATGGTTGCACGTGGCACAACTGGTGATCGGTGCCTCTTAGTGGGGGCCCCAGTGCTGTGGGCTCACCTGTACAGGGCTACCCATGGCAACCTGGGTGTGCCAGGAGCAGTGGCACCCAGCGGGGCTGGCCCGGGAGCAACAGGCTGCAGAGGCTTCTCTTCAGTGTCTGCCCGTGTGGAGCCATGTGGTCAGCTCGGCGGTTGCTTGCCCTGGTGTGCTGGTGTAATATGTGATTTATGTAATTTGTGCTTATGTAGAATATGAAGGGAATATATGTCATCATGTTTGGAAGAAATACTCAAAAGCATTTTTAAATCCACATGCGGGAGCCGAGGGATTGCCTCATACACAAGACTGCAGCATGCCATTGCGAAACTGCAGCTGGCAGCAGGGAGGAAGACCTAATTAGCAAATGGATGGATGTAGCACCCTTCTCCAGGATGGCCTAGGAAACACCCTGCGCTCCCATTGGCCTGACAACCAACTCCTCCCCTGTTTCCTCCCCTCCTTATAACCCTTGCAAGCCCCATCTCGGGGTCTTCAGCTGGTTGGCTCCCCTGGGGTGAGGTCCCTTTTGAAGAATCAATAAACCTGGATTGCTGCCCCAGCTGCAGTCCACTCTCCTTACTTCTGCTGCTGCTGCCCAGTATCTCTCCTTCTGCGCAGGTGAAAGCCATAACTGCTCTCCCGGGCCGTGAGGAGCAGGAGGGTGTCCCCGGGCTGCTAGTTGTGCCAGTGCTAGCCAGGACTGTCCTGAAAGGATATGCGGACGGACGGCTTCACAAAGCAATGTGCTTATCATTGTTGAAGGATCAAGAACTACTGGCTGTGATACAGTCACCCATTCATTCATTGCTCGTAAGTCTTGAACAAATCTGTAAACTATTTTTCCATCCAAGCCTAGACTAGGGTTTTTACAGGCAAGGTTGGAGTATTACGGGATACTCATGGGGAATTCCAGGAAAAGACCACATGTGTTGGGAGAAAAGAGGCCAGGGAATTAGAAAACTGGGGTTGGTGTTGGGTGGCAGTTCCCTTTCCCCACAGCTGTACCCACCAGAGCTTAAAACTGCTCAT